TTATATAATTTAATTAATTAGTTATTGAATTATAAGTAAATATATGATTCCAGTTTTTTTTGCACACTACTGTATATAATGTATAACAAAAATTTTTAGGTTTTTTTTTAAAAGTTTTAATATTTTGATTAATTGTAAAATAAAATATAAAAAAAAATTTTATTAAAAAAATATGATATTATATTTATTATTAATTAATTTTCAAGTTTATTTTATTTAAATCTATAAATTTATAAAACTTGATATTTGATATTTGATATTATAAAAAAAAGCTTTAAAATTCAAAAATTCAAAAATTTTTAAAAAGAAAAAAACCTATATATTAAATTAAAAAAATTTTTGAATTTATTGAATTATAAAATTTTGAATAAAATTTTTATTTGCAATTGATTTTTAATGCTCAAAAAATTTATATTATTATAATCTCTAGATTCTAAGTTTTATTTTAATATATTATTTATTAATTTTTATGCAATAGTTTTTAAATAACAAATAAATAAAAAAAGTTTTGCTATATACTGTATATATATATATATTAAATTGTAAATAGACATTAAGACTTTTATTAAATGAAAGTTTATAGTTATTATATTAAAAATCTTTATATAATATATAGGTTAATTCTAACCTATTGCAACCTTTTCTGTTAGTATTAGCTTGTACCAAGTAGATGGGTTCATGCTAATAGTGTTGAATGGCTAATGTCTATTCAATTTTCAATATATTTTATATTCAATCAATTGAAAATTCATATTAACAGAAAATTAGATTGTACAAAAATAAAACATCTAATTTTCTAACAATTTTAATGTTCAAAAAACCTTTGTAAAAGATTTCTTAATCCTAATTTGAAAATTAACAAGAAGGAAAATAATTTTTAAAATTAAATAGTTAACATTGTTATTATAAAAGTGTTTTCCCCTTCTTATATAAAAAATTATTATTATATTTAATTGTTTAAAATAAATATACAATTTTCAATCAAAAATATATAAATCTTAAACGCAATGCTTGAGTGATTTTAAGTAATATACAGAATGAATTCTAATAAAAATAGAAATAGAAATGAAAAAATAATATTAAATATAAAAACATTCGATATGTGTTATGTCATATTATGAAGCTAAAATCTAAATATAGGAAACAATACTAAAAAAATATAACAATAAATAATCGGTCCAGAATCAGGATTTACATTATAAAATCTCTAATAAAAACATATCAAGAATAGTAAGCAGGTATAATTTCACAATAATATGAATCTGCAGGCATATTTTTTTTATGTCTTTCCTCCATTAAAACATCCTGCTTCTCAATTCATTTATATCGTTTAATTAGCCAGCTTTACCTTTTCAATTCATTTTACAAAAGAATTTGTCTTAAATTTTTTAAACATGTTATGTACAGTATTTTACAAGTGATAAATCTACACGTGTGTTATTCAGATGATTATTAACTCGAAACCAAATTATTTCAGGTTTTTACTTTCATTTGACGATAGCGTTATTATGCGTGCAAACAACCTTCATTTGAGTCAATTAAATTTGATATTGGAAATCCTTATCGCATCAGTACTTTGGTTCATCAATATGACATGATCTCTGACACAATTCACATACCTAAAATTCTGAGGGTTGATAATTATAATTTTGTGTTTGCTCAGCCGTGGAGCCCACAATGCCCTATTTGTAATGGAAAATACTGTACAGGGATTATCTGCAACAGTTCAATTATGTTTACAATCACCCTATTTAAGACATGTGAAATCGATCACTTGCGCATACCGAGGAAATTAAAATAATGTACAGTACAGTATTTGCCAATCATTTATTACTATGGGCGATAAAAAAATACAGTACATACTGTATATGAGGAACACCTCTGTCATACGAAATAACCTGCTCTGGCACAGAATTATTACCCCCAAAAAAATAAACTCGTTCTTCTATCTATTAAAAGTAGAATGTAATGGGTGGATTTGTCGGATAAGAACACAACTCACTAAAATCACACCCAATCTTATCACTAAAAATAGATTTGAATTTTTTCCACTCGCAATATTCACTCCCACAACCTGGAATCACAAATGGTACGTCATTAAAAACCACTCGAATAGATACTTCCTTATTATCCGAACAAGTATAAATTTCAAAATAAAGTGTAGAAGACCAAGGTACATTCGCATATTCTGTATATTTGACATTTTTAATTTGTTCAAAGGTTAAATCTGCCGTGAGCGGGTAATCATCTTTAAATACTCCCTGTAATTAAAGGATTTCACATTATTAATAAAATACATATGCGTGTATAAATATAACAAAATAAGGAATCTGTAATGTACCATTGTAGTAAGAAGTATAAGAATAGTAAAACCATGAGTTTCCTTTAGGTGAGCAATCGCTTCAGATTTTCCATCTAAATATTCTTCAACCCCATTTACAAGTTGGGTCAAAAATCTACAACCTAATTGCGTACCGAGAGGACTACCATATGAGTTTGTATAATATCCATACATATCCCAATAATATCGTGCTAATAAAAGTTCGTCTGGACTTAGCAATGAACACCATGCGTCGGTTCGATTAAAAACAGTCATCCAATATTGACAAGCGGTAAATATTTGTGGTATTAGATGTGGATCAAGAGGTGGGCTGATGTCGTATTCTTTAGTAAGTCGTTCGGCAATTGGTGCCAAAGTCTTGTTGCCATAAGCAAAAATTTGTTCGCTTCGTTTTGCATTATTGGTCCAACAGGTCTGATTCCAACGTCGACAGGCGAGAAATGGAGCCAACTCAGTATCTTGGTCCTACACAAAATGCAAATGCGTGTTAACGGATTGGGAAAAAAATTATTTTATGTGAAACAGTGAAAATATTTACCAATGGTATAGTCGAATAGTATATTGGTTGGCTTTTACAAGAGTCTAAAGGCCCAATGCCATTAAATAATCCTTCAGAAAAGGCCATCATTGACGCACCAGTTCTTAAATGGTAAGACAATTTTATAATATATTTATATCATGGAAAATACGAGTGAAGATAAAAAATGTATATATCATAAATTTGTACCTCGAAGTTTGAGTACTTTTAAATTTTATAACTTCCGGATCATATTTAACTCCATTCCAAAATTTTGCATATCTTTTACGACATCGTATACCAGCAAAATAAGGTTCGATTTCTCCTCTTTTGACCAACTGGTAATTTTTTGCCAAGGAGAAAGGGTTTTTATACTAAAAAAGGAATGAGCGATGAATGATAAATCGACAAATAATATAACCGAGTTTAATTTTAGAGTTTTTTTTCTTACCCAATCTTTTGCGACAGAAACATTAGCAAATACTTTTTCCAATGTATCATAAGAAAAAATATTAACTGGATCTGGCTGTCTTGCTCCTAATAATTAATTTTTTAAAAAATAAGTAAAAGATCATTTTACTGAATCTGTATATTGTACAAAATAATAATTACCGTGTCTAGTAACCAAGTGTAATTGTTTTAATTCGTATTTATCAGGATAACTTATGGGCTTAACATCAGTATTAAAGGCGACTTCGTTTGGTTGAAGCCAAAAAAGATGGTTGTCGAGTAGATATTCTTCAGAGTAATTATACGGACTGCATAGCGTTGGATTGTAGGAAATCAATGAAATGAAGATAAAAACCGAACATAGAATGTACCGCATCTTTTTAGTATTATAAGTTGCAGTTAAAAAAACAAAAAACAAGAGACATCAAAAGGTCCTTTTATATCGATTTCCATTATCACACTTTAATAATTTACGAATTCCGAAAATATAAACGAGTCATCACAAAATGATAGAGTTTATTATCAATCACTTTCCTCAATGTCCTTGCCGCACTTATACAGCACCGGTGCAGGAGAATTCTGAATTAAGGATTTTATTGGGGAACATATTTCTGCGACCAAAAACAGCAACTTAAACTCTGCTGCAGTATACATGATTGCTTTTATGGAATTAAATCAAAAACGCTATAGAATAATGGAATATGGTGATTGATATTACCGTACCGTATTGACAAATATTTCGACAATGAAAGCTTTTAGAAGTTCATAATATGCGCGATATAAATGTAATTGGAAGATAAATAATATTTAGATGAGTATATGCGTCAAATTTTCCAATTCATTATAGTATTATGCATATAGGCGCGTGTGACATAATTAACCCGTTTTCGATCCTCGTTATGGTGTATACAATGTAGGGGTCGGAAATATGCATTGTACGCTTTTTCGCATAACATATTTAATGCTTATCCAGCATATCGGGCGCTTCTCTGGCATATAAGTTACAGCATATTTTTTAATAAATACTTTTTTATAATATTTTTAAGGAACTGTACTGAAAAGAAACTGTGTACAGATAACCTGTACAGTGCTTTTTCTTTAGCATGCGACGAGATAGTTATTTCTGCCGTACCAGGTTCGGAGATTCGCATTCCGTTCAATGGCTGGATTAGTTCCGTGGTTTCTTCTTGAGCACTTTCGTCCTCTGAAACATCACTAATAAAAATAGGTCCATCTTCATTTGATCCAAGAAGTGCCTTTATAATTTTATTAAAATTTTCAGTATTTATAAGCACTATGGACGGTGCATCAAGATTCGTGGTAGAGATATCATAATTATTTGAAGTGATGGTTGCCTGTCGTTTTAAATTGTCAAAAGCAATCGAAAAACATTTCCCTTGGTCGCTTTCCAAATATTATTTATCAATGTTCAATAATTATTTCTTAGAAGTTTAGCAAGAAATTATTTTATTGAAATTTTCACGCTACTCTTATTACATAATTCTATTAATCGATCCATGATCAATCCTTGCATGACCAGGTCACGTGGCAATCTTTGCGATTGTGTCGCGATTCTACTTCTAACATTTCCCTTTCTTCAGGCTCACACTAGTTTTCTGTCACGTTCATTGTGCTTTATAACGTTATTTCTTCCCAATATTGTGGGGAACCCAGAATTCAGTGTGAGGCGTGTTACTTTTTCCCGTGTTACAATATATGAATATTGAAAAGTTTAAAGTTTTTACTGAATACATTTAAAGTCAAAATGTATAAATGTTTGATGTAATGCAGAAGACTTTATTATGTGTTAAATTATGTTTAATGTGGAATCATCGATATCATTAAAAGAATATTAAATACTGTATAAACGTGAGTTAAAATATGTGTAAATGGTTAATTTCATCATGACTTTATTACATGTCATATTTTATCGATATGAAATCGTAGGAATCATCATGCAAAATTTTAATGAAGTGAATCATTGAATACTCCGCAATAATATTGTAGTGTTGAAAGCTTATTAAAGAGTTAAATATGTGTAAATGATTGCGTATGTGGATTCAACGAAACGACATCAAATTTAACGTTTATATCACGTGATAATATAAAATTTTGGTTTATTTGTCCCATTCCTATTGAACTCATTGTTTCAGCATGTTCTTGTGTTTGACTGACAGTTTTAGCTTGATTTTCTTTTTGCTGATTATGTTGTGATGTAACGTCTCCTCTCTCTTCTTTCTCTTCTTTCCCTCTTTCTCTCTCTTGTTCCCTTTTTCTTTTAATTTCTGACTCCTCTCTCTCTCTCTCCGTTTCCCACTCCCTTCTCTCATTTTCCCTTTTCTCTTCCCACTCTCTGTCCTTTTGTTTTATCAACTCTATATCTTGCTTATGTTTTTCCTTAGCTTTTCTTCTTGCATTTTCTTTTGGCCTTTCTTTTTATTCCTGTCTTTTTCTTTTGCCCCCCTCTTCTTTTCGACGTAAGGCCTCCTCTTGTTCACGCAGATTTTTTTCAAGCTGTTCGGTTGCATAAACTCCTTGTATGTCATTTATTAAATCTTTGATTTCCTTTAATTGTGCTTCATAAACTGGGTCGTTAGGCGAAAAAATATCAGGATTTGGAGATATCCCCCAACGATTTCCAACATTTTATAAGAATTGAACTGGTTTATTCCAAGCCTTCTTCATTTCGTCTCTACTTTTGGTCTGCATTTTGTTTGCATGAAAAAAAATAGCGATAATATGGTTTGTTGTCTCTTTTCCAAGAAAATCTTTCTGTTCATTGGTAAACCGATGCGCTTCTAAGAATTCAACTCAAAAATTAATTTAAATTCGAAATGTAATTAATAAAGGTTTATTATCATCTTAACATACCAAAAACTATAATAGCTTTTACACCATGATCACATTTATTAACAAATTTTGCAATTTTTTCAAGTGTTTCATCTATATCTTTTGAGTGTTAAAAATTCTGTAAGTGTCACAGATTGACATCGTCGCCACACCACATTCATTCGTGACAGATTCCTATACGTATTTTCTATATCACTTCAAAATAATTTAATAGAGATTACTAATTAGTATAAATATACTACTCACCATACTCGCTGAAGTATAAAAAGGGCCATAATTATATGGTTTCCCGAGATGCAAGTTTCCCAGAGTACTTTTTCCTGCACCTAAATTTTTATTCCTCAATTAGTAAATGAAATAAAAAAATATACTGTACTAGATACACAAGCTTCTTTCCTGTTTTTAATCTACAATAATGCGAAACTCGTTTTTTTAAATCAATTTCCCGAATTTTACTAATTAAATTATCAACGTCATCCTGGAATAAATTTAAAATCGATGCTACATTAAAAATTTTCCCTCGACCTATTATTTCCTTTCTTCTTATATTGTTAAAGTCCAAAAGTCTTAAATTTTCTTTACTTTTTGAAGATTAGTTTCGGTAAGTTTATCTTGTGCAGAATTCTGTTCCCTGCTTAGCGCAAAGAAAAATAATTTAAACCCTCCATTACAGTAACAATCTCTAATCTGAATTCGTTGATCGAGAATTTGTATGCTGTGCTGTCGTCAAAACAATGAAATCCGCATAATGTGTGAGGCGTATTTTATAATTTAGAAATATTCACTATTTTTTTCCTACAAATTTGTCAAGTTGCATCTCGGTATAACAACTTCAATGGTATTTTCGGTTAAAATGTAGTACATGTGACGCCGTTAATACTGTAGTTCAAAATAGAATTATATTTAAACAGAATTTTCATATAAATATAATAACTATTGTTATTATATTTTCAAATCTTCGATAATGTCTCACAAAATTTATCTTTACATTGTGACATTCAATTCCTTTTTTCTTTTCGGTTTACGCGGATGATGATGATCCATTGCCTGACTTGTTCGATCAGTTTATCAGCGTGATTGTTCCTCTAATAATCGTCTCATTATTCGATTTAAACATCGATAATATAAACAACGTACATTGGTTCAAAGTTAAACTTCTTTTTGATGACATATTGTTTTTGTTGACGCTTTATATTCTACCAATTATTGTCATGACAAAAAGCAAAGAAGCACAAAATACGCCATTATGGGTCATCATTTTATATAGTATATCAGCATTGGTTATCTTGATCATTATAGTTCAGATAAGATTTGTTAAAAATTACGAACAAACCATTCCACATTATGCGACAATTATTTTTCTTCATGTAGTTTCGGACTTCTGTTTTTTTTTTTATTCTCTTGCAATTAATGCAAACGAGTCAAAAATATTTGTATATTTACATGCGGTTACCGGATTTCTAACTGGTTTCGGTATGTTATACTTTTTCGCATTTTCAGTATTATATGGAAAATTCAAAAAAAGAATTTTCTTGGAACTCGTACTATATTTAGCTATTTATGAAGGTCTTGTTTTTTCTATACTCATGCTTTATAGTCCTTTTATTCAGATGTTAAATATGGCATTACTTTCGGGCAATAATTATTATTTTAAAAAGTTAATATTTGCTTCGAATTTAATCTACATTTCTAGGATCTTAAATTATTTAAAAGATGCTTATTTTTACCACGAGAATTTGGTGGGTTACAAATCTTTGATAGTACTTCTTGTTGCCGGCTTTTGTGGCGATTATGATTTTGGAGAACTTGCTGGAGACTCACAATTCCGAAGAATTTATTTACTTATTAAATATGGTGGTGAAAAAGAAAACCTTGTGGTGAAAATAAATCCCCGAATAGGAAGAATAATCAAATTTGTTGACAAAGAAACTGAGGAAAAATTTAGAGACCAACCACAAAAAAATTTTTATAAACTCAATACACAAGTATAAATTATTTTTTAATTATAATGAAAGTTATTTATTAATAGAATAAGATCTTTATTTTTATTTAATAAATACCTTTCTACTTTTACAAGCTCATAGTGAAATGAGGGTATGTCGAACTATGACTTGAAAATTCTTTTAAACTCATATTTGCTATGAAGTGATTGATTATTTTTCTTTTTTTAAGGACATTAATAAGAGTTTAAGTATCTTGGTGATTAATGACAGGAATTTGAAAGGTTACAGTTGTCAAGTTTTTAGAAATTGATAAGAAACTATAAGAAAGAGGCTTCTTAGATATAATAAAGCATGAAAAAGTCTTTTAAAGAAGTATTTGGTTCTGAGTTTTTAACTACTGTACTTATGTCTTGAGTGAATAAATCTATAAGAAATTGATGTAACAATTTTAACCTATAACTGCACCATGGGATCCATATTGCACTTAGTGACCTGAATATTTCAGAAGATATCTGATCTGCCTCTGATAATCTACAAGTTTAAGATATAATTTCAAACAATTGTCAACACATGTATAGTGTGATTCTAATTTTGACAATATGTCATGTCATCAAAACATCATTAATTAATTATTCTGAGTTAATATAATAAAATTTTCAGCATAACATCAGAAAATTTTTTGAACAAAAATTTTCAAAGATCTTTGGGCATAGATCTCTGAAGGATCTCCATCATCATTAAAAAATTCTAAAGCAAAAATTTATATATTAATCTCTGAAGATCTTTAATTTATTTTAATAATAATAAACTATATTTATATTTACATATTATAATTTAATAATATTCAATTTAAAATGTTTAATTGACTTAAAAATAATTTTTATTATTATATAATTCTTGTTTACATTTATTTATTTGCTTAAATCTTTGCTCTTTGTCAAAGTTCTTCTTTCTAATTCTATATTTTTCAGTAATAGTTCTGGATTATTCTCATAGTTCTTCAGAGATTCTTCTATAATAATAATTTATAAATCAATCATTTTTTTATCTTTGTTACTTGAATTTTTTTTTTCAAATTCAAGTTCTTTTTTAATTCTCTCCTAAAAATATTATTAACAATACTTTATAATACTTTGAAAATTTTTAAAACCCATCTTATTTTTTTTTACTTTGCTTTTAATTAACATTTTATTTATCATAATACTTTCATTATTTGAATCAAATACTGTTTAACATACTATGATGATAAATGTTACTTGTTCATTAGAGATATCTTCTTTTAGTCAGACTTTTTTGAGAATACGAGCCATTATACTTTATGTTTCTTTTCTTGAACAATTGTGAAGATTTTCAAAGCATTCAACAGTTTTTTGAAATTGTTTTCAAGCCAAAATATCAACTGCAGTTGCATTTGTATTTATTGTATTTAAATACCCTTCACCAAAAACTGAAAATATAACATCACAAACTTTCAAAACCATAGTTCCATAAAGTGATCGATGCTATTTTATAAGTTTTTAAAACAATAACTAAAAAACTAAAGTTATTAATATTTATAATGTAAGGGGTAAAATAAAAATAGACAATAATAAAATATCTGTCTAACATTAGCAAGTGTCACGATAATAAGACCA